AGTGCTGGTAATTAGATTAGTTGGATTAGAATACTAATCTAGTTGGGTGAATACTCTTTGTGAATATTCCTCAGATGCCTCTTAGTTTATGAGCCAGGGCTTTTCTCCCTCAGAATCTATAATTGGTATTTACCCCCACTCCTTTGACGAGGACTTTCTCACTAGGTAGATACCAAGTTTAGTCCCAATAACAAAGCACATAGGTATCTCTCTATGAGTAGCTACCAAATGGAAAGTAGTGTAAAGTGTGTCAGTGAGAAATGTTACGGAATGTTTTGTCCACTTTCAGCTTCTAATTCCATCAGTCTTATGGTGACTACTCTTAGAGAGACCCTCTGCATCTACTACTGATGCAGAATACTATGTCAAATTCTTTCAACTAATAATCCAGTATAGTTTCTTGAATGAAGAAGGGGGTGGAAATGAGAAAGCAGGCCAGACTTAGCAAGTCCCCAGGATGTTTTTAAAGCACATGGTTTATTTCAGCCAGCATCTCAGGTTTACCAGTTCTGGTACTACAGAGGCACTATATCACACATCATGTGGAATTCATATATCATCTTTTTAAAATTCATGTTTAGTCATAGAACACAGAATGTGCATGGATATTTTTATTATGGTCTTTGGAAGCATATTCCTAGTTACGTTTATAATACTTTTAAGTATATTTGTTTTTCACTATATCTTTTCTTTAATCCTGTAGTGAAATCACGGATTTGGTGCTCATGGTACTTTAACATCCCTAAGGGCTGACCAATTAGCTCAGTTGGTTAGAGTATAGTTTTATAACACCAAGGTCAAGGATTCAGATCCTTGTACTAGCCAGCTCTCAAGAAAAAAAAAATTCCTAAGAAAGTTTACAGTGTTTAACCAAATTGTCAGTGGGAGTGGCATGCTGGCAGGTCAAGGATATTGGGTCATTATCATTAAATCAATTAGCATTCTAGAGTAATGCATGTTATAAATATGTAAGAATGGAAGTCCATGTTCCAATAGTCCTAGCTAGAGCTGCTATAATTGACCCAGGGTATGTAATGACAGAATCTACCGAGAAAGAAGGTAAGTAATTGAGAGTTTGGAGTCAAGGAAAAATCCAGACAAGTTTTTCCCATTCAAAGCAGGGTCCGTATTTCTTTTTTTGGACACTATGCATATGAGTGAATAAAACATCAAATTACATGAACTTCAGGAATTTGAAAGCTACTCTTTACATCACCTCGACCATCCTGCATAACCGTGAACTTTTCTAATTCTTCATGTTCTTCTAGTGTGAGAGAACATTATGCCTTACATTCTTCTAATTAATGTTGTGAGTTAATATCTATATAACACTAAATTAGGATCTGAAAGATAAGAAACAGTAATAGCACCATTTATTAAGGTAAAGGAAAAGTTACATTTGTGAATTTGACAACCTGTAATCATCCATTTTATAATCATAATCTTGGAAGACTTGAAAAATAGAATTATCTCCTGTCATCTCACAAAAGAAGTGCTTAGTCCATTGCGTTTTGTTCTCTTTGCAAATCATTGACTATATTTAATTAAAAAAAATACAAAACTGCTTGGTGTTCTAGTCAAAATTGGTTTCATCTCTTACACAGGCAGGTAGGTCGAAACTGGCTGATGTTTAATTTTATTTGTTTCTCTTGGTTTTATCTTTAATTAATTTAAGAATCTTAAAAATATATAGCTGGTTAAACAAATTACAGAAAAGATAGAACTATGAATTGATGATACAGTCTTTTCCAAGAGAACATGTCACAAGCAAGAACAAATAGTCAAGGAAATATGATTCCAAAGGTTTTAGAAATATATGGTTTTTCAGCTGTGCAGTCAAGAAGTTATTATCAACTATCAACAAATTGTCCATGACTTTAAAAGAGCAGACATTGTGGAACTTCTGTGATTTAACTATAAGAAATCATAGGATTGGAGTTGAAAATTTTACTGGAAAAAGTTGATTGTTCAGATTGTTGATTTAGGTATATGAAAATGGATAGAGGAGGGGTAATAGCTAAATAGGAACTAAGATACAAAATGTAAAAGTAGAGTTTAGTTGAAAATAGAGATAAACAGTGTCAACAAGCACCCAGAATCCCCCAGTTTAAAATAAAAAACAAAGAAACAAAAAAAAAGAAAGAAAGAAAAGGAAAGGAAAAAAGATACCAATTCATTTAAGGCAATGGCCACAGAAACAATCCTTAAGGAGTGCCTTAATTCAAAACAAGGGAATTTGATTTGGGTTCTTACTCGTCAGAAGATCCGAGAAGAACAGGCAAGCATATTCATAAAGTGGAGCAAAGAAAGAGTTTTAAGAGATCAGTACCTGGAATCTATTTGTCACAGAAAAATTTGCACAATTACAACCGAATGACCTAATTGGTGAAGGCTATTGTACCACGTAAATACTATTCAAACAGTATTTGCAGTATGTGCTGTGTTCCTTATCCTAGGAAATTTGTCCCTGGCTGATAGGGCCGACTATCTAAAAGGAATTATCACTGCCTGAAAGGAGAGAAACTTGCAGAGCAATTCATCACCCAAGGAAAGACTAACAGCTTTGAAAGAGACCTGTTAATGATGCAAATATGAACTTGCATGTGCTTGAGATGAGCTTTTATTTAAGAAAGCAAAGAATCCATTCTGAACATACTTTGAAAACACATAGTCTTTGAGAACATGATTATGATGAGTTGAAAAGGCCAATGGAAATTGGTAAAGGGCTACAAAATATGATTATATTGTGTAATGTTAAATATACTAATTATCCTGATTTGAGCATCATATATAGCACATAGTTACTGATATTCAATGCTGTATCCCATAGATATGTGCAATCAATTGTTTCAATTGAAAAAACAAAACAAAAAAGAAGAAAGAAATGACCTCTTGAATTAATTCCATTTTGAAGTTTGTTTATCCTACTTACGTGAAGCCAGAGCCAACAAAACTAAAAGTTTTGAATGACATTTAATACTTCCAGGAGTTTGGGCTTACTTATCTGTACATAAACCAGCTTCCTTTCGGTCTATATTAAAACTGTTGTGTTAAATTTTTTGTTTAAATATAAAATGGCCCCCTTGTATAATTTAGAATAAATAAATTACTTGACTTTGTCCACAAAGATATTCTGCTGGTAAGTAGAGAAATAAAGTTCGGTGGTTTGATTCATTTTGCATGGCATCAGTTACTCTGAGTATAATATTTTTATTACTATAGAAGTTGTATTAAATTATTTAGGATTTTAATAAGCCAAGTCAATTATACTATCCCTGATAGTCATCTTATTTTTCTCACTGTAGCATTTTAGCAGATTTAAAAATAAATCAGAGCCTCCACTTAAAAAATCTTTATAAGAGAAATGATAATGTTAAAATTATAAGAAGTATGAAAACTTACAACCAATTATTACATTTTTAGTAATGTAATATTAATATTTAAAATCTTAAAATGTGTCTAATATACTGAGAAGTTCTTCATAATAATCTAAACCTGTGTTCATCCACAGCCAGGTAGAGCAGGGGTTAGCAAATTGTACACTGTGGGCCAAACCCTTCCCTCTGCCTTTTTTTGTATGACCAGCCAGCTAAAATTGGTTTTTACAGATGAACATTTGCAATCTATTTGATGATAGAGAATGCTGACTTTAAACCCCAACTAAGTGAAATGTTAACCCAAAATAAATAATTTTATTCTTTTCATTAGTAGATCTATATTATGGAACACTATATTCAATTATTATACAAAATAAATTATATTTTATTATTACATTTTGACTTTTGTAATAAATATTTGGAAATGTTCTTTGTCTTGTTGTGAATGAACCTACATAAATCTCTAGTTATATTTCTTGGCACTACAATAATTACTCTTTGGCCCTTTACAGAAAGTGTGTGCTTACCCCTGAAATATTTTTTCTAATGTTTCAATTTTTTATATACTCGTGAATTTATTCAGCAAATTGTTTCTGAGCAAATCCCGCATGCTGGGCACTGTTCTAAGTGTTGGGGACACCACAGGGAAGAAGACTTAAAAAAATGTTGCCTTCATGCAACTTATATTCAAATTAACTATGTTACCTCCTCATAACTACCCTTTATGGAAGGTTTCATTATTCCCATTCTATAGACAGACAAAGTGGGGTTCAGGGCATTTATGTAGCTTGCCTGGGGTCCCTCAGCTAGAATTGAACCCAGTTTTCCCTGCCTCTTTTAACCATTGGTTAGCTTGAGCTTCTAACCAATGGGCAGGACTGGCTTGATGGGCTGGGCTCCATGCTGGGTTTAATTCTCTGCTATCATGATCTGGAAATTCTTAATAGTTTTTCTTTTTAGCAAGTTTTTGAACAATAGTTTTTGAACAATGAATGCATTTTCATTTTGTACTGGGTGCCACAAATAATGTAACTGGTGCTGCCATGAGGCAAAAGTGCTGCTTCTTTGTCAGACCACATTTCTGCCAGAGCTGTTTTTTTGAACATCCACATGAGTTTATCTATTTAGAAGCCTTGAAATCTATCAAGCACTTTAGAAACATAAGGTATTGTTAATCAATTATTCTATATTACACTCCACCAAAAGACTGGAAGTTTCTTGAGGGCCAGGACTCCTTCCCACAGTAGTTTCTTGTAATACCCTCTGCATCACAAGCTCTTTTGAGAACAGAGTGAGTAAACAATAAATATTCCTTACTAGAATTAAATTCTATTAATAACTGAACTCAATGGTAAGAGTTGGCTCTGTCCTGGCTTGATTTTCTTCCATGGAAAAGCAAAGTCTTGACCATGAATGCTTTCCTCTGATGTTTACATATTTGTAAGTTTTGAAACAGCATATTTGATCTGAGTTAAACAAAACACAAGAACTGACCTGTCTGCTACAAGGAAATCCTTTGTCCAGCAGTTCATGACTGAAACACTGACAGCTTTGAAGAGTACTCTGAGTTTACTGCACTTATTAAAATAGATGCTTTGTCTCCTTCCTTTCAATTTCTTGCAGCCTAGTCATTGTTGGATAAGCGAGATGGTAGTACAGTTGTCATACAGCTTGACTGATCTGCTGGACAAGTTTTCAAATATTTCTGAAGGCTTGAGTAATTATTCTATCATAAACAAACTTATGAATATAGTGGATGACCTTGTGGAGTGTGTGAAAGAAAACTCATCTAAGGTAACTTTCTGTTTATTGGGACTGTTTTTCATTACTCTTCTCTAAGCCCTATGCTAATTGGTAGTATTGGAGGGAATGGGAGCAACCTTATTTGTGTGATTTTTGAATTTATCAACTTTGAATTTAAAAATATTTTTAAGATGAGCACAGATAGCAAGTGTTTGTAGTTATACTGCAATGTATATTCAATGTATATTCAGACTTAAATATTGTCATCTAATATGAAAATAAACCTTCTCTACACTACAGTGTAAAAACAGCCCTGCCTTGATCTTTATTTTTATTTCGTAAATGAATGAAGTCCTCACAACCTTGCTATTAAGTTACAAATGTTCATTTTGGTGGAAAATTGTCTCTGATGAACACTTATACTTGCCCTTTTATCCGTAATGTAATCACTACATAGGTCACAACAAAGAAGTGTATTTTGGCTCCTCAAAGTCATTTGATAATTGGTCATCACAAACTTCAGGATATGGGCATGATAGTATTTTGGCTTCTAAGCATATGGATAGGCAAGTACCCCTAAAATAAAGAACAAGATGTTGGAGTTCAAATTCTGGCACTATCACTAACTGGCTTTGTGAACGTCATGTCTCTGTGCATCTCTTTATGCCTAAAGTGGGGAGACTGGCAGAATCCATCTCACAGGGTTGACATTAGATGACTTGTGATGAGTGCTTTAACACTGTGCCTGACAAAATAAATTTGGACATTACTGTTGTTTATATCAAAGTGTCTATAATGGAATAGGGCACTGAGACTTGCTTTGGTATGGAGCTCAAATGGCCAAAGTTTAGCTTACCACACTTTTAGAAGTTTAAACCCAAAGTTTTAAACATGATTCTGTACCTTAGTACCTAAATGCTCTCTCTATTCAAATTCCAGCTACTCTTTTAAGACCCAAAATCAGTCCCAAGTCTGCTTTCCAATCTTAGAATTCTTACCATACTAATACTCACTACATCTTATTACTGTTTTTTTACTTTCTCATTTCTGAAGTCAGAATGTATCTTATAATTAATGATGTTTTAGCATTAACATCACTTTTTTATATCATATTATTATTGCAGCTAGTCTGCTGATGGCATTCATAAAGTAGAAGTCACAAAAAGGAGGGTGTATTACACAAAGTGTCACGAAGGAAATGACATATGCATTGGAGCTTTAAAGATGAGTAAAGTGTTCAGTAAATGGTGATGTTGGGAAGAACATTGCAAATATATATGAGTTCCCTTCACCCCACGTCCTTGCCAATATCATCAGACTTTTAAATTTTTGGATTTTGGAGCATGCATTATGGAGGGGTCTCTTTAAAATCAACATTAATGTTTTTAATGACCATCTCTAAAGAAAAATGTCCCCAATTTATTATCATTGTTACGACATTATGCTCACTGCACTCCATTCCACTCCAGAGTCATGAGTTGAGCCTCAGACTGATGCAATGGAATCACTATCCTATATTACCAGGTTGAATTATGTACATTGAAACATCTGTCTAAAAGTGTTAGTTTTCATAGTTAAATACTTGAATCTTTGAAGGACATATTTATAGTCCATTATCTTGACCTCAGTTAAGTCTACAGACTACTTGAAAAATACAATCCTTTTTTTTTTTTTTTTCTTCTAGAATGTAAAAAAATCACCTAGGAGCCCAGAACCCAGACTCTTTACTCCTGAAGAATTCTTTAGAATTTTTAATAGATCCATCGATGCCTTCAAGGACTTTATGGTGGCATCTGAAACTAGTGATTGCGTGGTTTCTTCAACATTTAGTCCTGAAGAAGGTAAGACATATAAGCATTTCTAATTTAAGTGTAAATTACAAGTTTGAATCTTATATATGTAGGTAAGACCCTACCTCTGAATCAGATATATGTGTAGCTCTAGAAAGATACATGTGTGTATGTCTCATGAAAAAGCAAATATCAATGGCACAATTGTTGGCTTCCAAGCCAAAACAATACTCATCATTTTCAAATTAAATAATTGTGTATGAATAAAGAATATGTGAGATGGCCAATCATTTTTTCTTATGTGATGTTTGCTAGTAATGTACAATTATATTATTCTTAATAATATAATTGAAAGACATCTCCAGTCTTCTTAACGTACCCCTCTCAAATCTTTTTCTTAAGGGTCTGAGTCATGAATTCTGATCCTCACTAGTTACTCTGTTTTGAGGCTCTTTTTTTCTCCCACTGGCTCCCTACAGCACAAAACCTTAATTATTGCTTTCTTTTTAATGACAAATTACCAACAATATGTCGTTACTCACATTTATTAGCACATGTATGCAGTAAATCTCTGTTCTACAAGGTGACTGTGGTGAATTTCTTAATAAAATAGAACAGCAGAACCCAGTATAAAATAAATAGGATCTGAATAATCTAGATTTGGGAGGCAGACCTGGCAAGTACTCTGGTATTGCACTTCACCTTTTGGGGACTCTGTAATTCATACAAATCACCATATAACACTGACACATTATTGCTTTCTATTTAGATTCCAGAGTAAGTGTCACAAAACCATTTATGTTACCCCCTGTTGCAGCCAGCTCCCTTAGGAATGACAGCAGTAGCAGTAATAGTAAGTACACATATCTGATTTAATGCATGCATGGCTCCAATTAGCATCTCTAGGAGTATTGCATGGGCTTTAAAGGAAATTTCTACAATTATTACTATTAATACTGTTCTGTTACTGTTATTCCTCTAATAGTCTTCCTGAGAATAAATATTAGGTTTGTAGAATTGGGTTTCCCTAAAGCTTGATATAATGTTTAGAGAATTGGACCAATAAAGTTTTTGCTAAGATTATTTTAAATAAGGCATGAAATTAATTTTAGAAATATAATTTAGACTTTTTCATTGTAGACTTAAAATATATCTTGTGTGGAATGTGTCTGATAGAAATGGAATTATAAAATTGAAAGCACAAATGCTGGTTGTGTAGAATTCCAAGGATATTTACAGTTTTGTGTATATCAGTATTTACAATGGTGTATTTGGAAATTCAATGATTTTGTTATTGTACTATAAAATTATATGTTGGAGGAGAACATGCTGCTTTTCCTGAAATTTCTGTCCTATTTGGCCAAGAACCTAGTTCCCTGGAAGACTATGTCCTCTTTTCAAATCCAGGCAAAGGTCTTTATAAAGGTTATTGGATTTACTAAAAACCTTCTTGCCTCGTGGAAGCTGCTAGAAGAAAAAAAATTAAATAAAAAAAAAAAATCATCCCTTAAGACTTGTAAATGGGCCACTGTTATTTGTTCAGGAGCATAGAAAACCTATCTATAAAAGGAGTAATTTATTACAAATTCACAATAGCTTGTCTACAATTCAGAAATTAAACAAAAAAACCTATAGAATGCAATCTGTTTTGGAATTTTTGCCACAAAAACCTGATCTGAATTGAGATGAGGCTATTTATAGTCTTTATTTATCCTTCTGAAAGTGAATATACATTTCACAACAGAAATATTAACATGTTAGATTACATGATGCTAGCGAGAGGTCACCGCGGTGGTATGTAATACACAATATTTGCTGGACAGAATCTTCTAAAATCTAAAATTCTGATTTATATAACAATTAGATCTGAAAAAGTTTCAAAAAGGGACTGGGATGAGATATGTGTGAGTCAGTTAAGGTCTTTCCTACTAACTAAGGCCTTTATATTAATCTTTTCAAAGAATCAACTTTTGGCTTTTTAAATTCTCTGATTACATTTTATTGATTTCTAATTTTCATTATTTCCTTCCTTTTATAGTCATCCCTCAGTATCAGTGGGGGATTGGTTACAATTCCCCAGCCCCCAGAGACCAAAATCCAAAGATACTCAAATCCCTTATATAGAATGGCATAGTATTTGCATATAACCCAATGACATCCTCCTATATATTTTCAATCATCTATAGATTACTTATAGTACCTGAAACTATAAGTATAATATAAATGCTATTATACTATAAGTATAATATAAATGCTATGTAAATAGTTGTTATACTGTATTTTTTTATTTATATTATTTGTTATTGTTGTATTGTTATTTTTTATTGTTTTTTTCCCCCTGAGTATTTTCAATATGTGGTTGGTTGAATCCGTACGTGTGGAACCCATGAATACAGAGGGCCAACTGTACTTACTTTTGGGTTTAATTTACTCAACTTGTTCTATCTTACTGAAGTGGAAAAATTAGATTAATGATTTTAAACCAGTTTTTTTTCTAATTATAAGCACTAGAAGGTATAACTTTCCTTTTAAGCACTGCTTTAGCTGCATCCCACACATTTATTTTTAATAATTTATTTTATTTATTGAATCAAAATCGATTATACATATTTTTGGGGGGTTGAACATTGAGGTATGTTGATTAAATCAGTATTACTAGCATATATATTGCTACAAATTGTAATTATTCTTTATGCCCCTTGTCCAACCTCTTCCCTTCCCCCATTCCCTTCCCCTCCACCCTCTAATTGCCCTAGATTTCTTCTCTCCTTCTGAAAGAATAATGGTTACTCTGTTAATTTGTTATCTAGATGATCTGTCCAATGCTGAGAGATGTGATCCTGTCCCCCAATATTATCATAGAGCAGATGTTTCTTCTGTCACTCTGAAATGGGTTTTATGGAAAGAGACATCCTCTTCTTTTCTTTGTCTCTGCTGGTGACTCTTCTTATGTGAATGCACTCCAGTGGTTGGCGGACCATCTGCCTAGTGGCTGTGGCTTCTAGCCGCTTTTGCAGCAGCCTTGGTTATTGTGGTGACTGTGGTGGGCCACCCATGTGGGGGTGCTGTTTTTGGCATGCTCCTTGGCACTGGTGGTATGCCTGGTTGTGGGGCATGTTTGGTCCCCTTCTCCTTCCCTTGGGTCCCCTGGCAGGCCCCAAGGTGCTGGCATGTTGTGCCTGGTTGTGGGAGAGAGGTCCAGTCCCCTTATTCATATCCCTGGTCCCCGGGTGGGCTCTGAGGTGCTGGCATGTTGTGCCTGGCTGTGGGAGGGTGGTCCGGTCCCCGACTCCACACCCTGGGTCCCTGGGTGGGCCCCAAAGCACTGGCTCAGTGTGCCTGGTTGTGGGAAGGTGGTCTGGTCCCCTTCTCCATGCCCTGGGTCCCTGGGCAGGGCCCAAGGTGCTGGCATGGTGTGCCTGGTTGTGGGAGAGAGGTCCAGTCCCCTTTTCCATGCCTCAGGTCCCCGGGTGGGCCCTGAAGCGCTGACTCAGTGTGCCTGGTTGTGGGAGAGAGGGCCAGTCCCCTTCTCCATGCCTCAGATCCCCTAGTGGGTCCTGAAGTGCTGGTTCAGTGTGCCTGGCAGTGGGAGGGTGGTCTGGTCCCCTTCTCCATGCCCTGGGACAGTGGGTGCGCACCAAGGTGCTGGCTTGGTGTGCCTGGTTGTGGGAGAGAGGTCCAGTCCCCTTCTCCATGCCTCAGGACTCCAGGCAGGCTCTGAGGCACTGTTGCAGTGTGCCTGGTTGACATCCCACACATTTTTATATGTTCTGTTTTCATCATTTTTTTCTTAAATTTTTTTTATTCTTGTGGTTTTTTTCTTTGTTTCATGGGTAATATAGAAGTGTGTTGTTTGATGTCTAGAAATATGGTGATTATCTTGATGTCGTTACTGGTTTCTAAATTAATTCTGTTATTGTCAGAGAACAAACTCTGAAATCTTCTTAAACTTATTGAGACTTATTTTATATGTGTACTGAACTATTGGGTGTAGCATTCTCAGTCTTGGCCAAAGCTGTTGATAGTATTATTCATATCTTCCATGTCTTATTAAATTTTTTGTCTACCTTTTTATGAATTACTGAGAAAGGGGAATTAAAAAAACATTCCTTTTGATTTTGGATTCATCTGATTCTCCTTTTGGTTCTGACTTTTTTGCTTAATATATTTTGTAGCTCTGTTATTACATGCTTATACACTTATTATTATTATGTCTTCCTTGATTAATTGACCTTTTAATCTTACTGAAATATCTCTCATTACCTCTGGTAGTGTTCTTTGTCTTGAAGTGTATTTTGTCTGATGTGATTACAGCCAATCTTTCTAATGCTCAGTTTGCATGGTATACCTTTTGCTTTCTTTTATTTTCAAACTTCTGTCTTTATTTATTTATTTTTTTTTTCCTTTTTGTCTTTTTTCGTGACCGGCAACGGATCGCAACCCTCAGTGTCGCGCCCGTACCGGACCGGGACCGGCAACGGGATCGCAACCCTCGGTGTTGCTCCCGCACCTCGCTCAGCCAGTGAGCGGCCAGTCTGTATGTGGGATCCAAACCCTCAGCGGGAGCGCCACTGCGCTTCCCAAGCAGCGCACTGTAGCAGTGCGCCACCGGGCCGGCCCGTCTGTCTTTATTTTTAAAGTACATCTCTGGTCGACCGCATATATCTGGGCCTTGCTATTTTATCTATTATATCTCTGATTTGTTATTACAGTGTTTTATCCATTTATATTTAATGAATTATTGGTATGGTTGGATTTGGGTCTACCATTTTGTTACTTGCTTTCTGTTTGTCTCATTTGTTTACTGATTCTCTGTTCATTTTTTCCAGCCATGTTTTGGGTTAGTTAATGTTGGGTTTTCTGTGTTTTTTGCTTTTTTGTTTTATTAGTGTTCCAGTGTTCCATTTTTTTGTTTTATTAGTGTTCCAGTGTTCCATTTTAATTACTATCAGCTTGTCAGCAGCACCTCTTTGCATTATTTTGTGGTTGTTTTAGGAATTGAAGTATACATCTTAACTTGTAATATTCTACTTAGAGTTAATATTGTAGCAGTTCAGAAAAAATATATAAGGACCTTGAAACAAGGTAGTTTCACTTAGCCATACCCATCTTTTGTGTTATTGTTGATAAATATATCTACATAGGTTATAAACCCCACAATACAGGCATAAAATTATTGCTTTGAATTGTCGTGTATCTTTTAAAGAGAGTAAGAGGGGAAAAAGTATGTTGTCTTTTATATTACCCACATATTTATTATTTCCTGTAGCCTTCATTCCCTCTTGTAAATACAAGTTTCCATCTGGTGTTAATTCCTTTCAGGCGAAAAACTTCCTTTTGCATTTCTTGTACAGATCTGCTAGCAACAAATTCTCTGTTTTCTTTTCATTGGAAAATGTCTTTAACTTTGTCTTCCACATGGCAGGAACTTTTTACCATATATCAAATTCTGAGTTGCCAGAATTATTTTTTATTTCAGCCCTTTAAAGATGTAACTCCATTGTCTTTCTGCAGCTACTGTTTCTGAACAAAAGGCAGCTGTCATTTGTATTATGTTCCTTCATTTCCTTTGCCTTCTTTAAAAATTTTCTCCTCTTTAACAGTTTAACTAAGATGTGACTATGAATGGTTTTCCTTGCATTTATCTTTCTTGAGGTTTGTCAAGCTTCTTGGATCTGTAAGTTTGTTTTCTCCCAAATTTGGGGAAAATTTGGCCATAATTTGGTTCAAATATTTCTTCTCCAATCTCTCTTTTCTCTCCTTCTCAGATACTATCACATATATTTTAGGCAGTTTGTATTGAGTCATAGGTCACAGATGTTTTGTTCATTTTTTTCCAACCTCTTTTCTCTT